CGCCTGCACCGACTTTTCATCTTGAGAACTAAAAAAGTTACAAGGCTGAATCTTCGGGAACTTAATCTACATGCTTGCAAGGGCCTCTACCCCCAAAATAGACGCTCTTGTCCAACTGGTCCCCAGGTACAAGCCCGTAAAATCTTCGGCGAGTAAGCTGCTAATTCGGGAACTAGAAAACCTAGAAAGCTGAAATTTCAAGAGAATGTTTCCTGACAGTCATGACGGTCAGTCTCAATTCTTTTAGCTAGAAGCATCTGCCGGAAAAAATGTGTCTTCAGCGAAAAACCTGTAGTGAACTGTGCAAAAAATACATCTTTACACCAATAGTCAGTGCGATGACAAATTAGGTACTGTGCTGCTTGACAGTTTATACATCTCGTAGTTTAATTCACTGCCACATAAGAGTAGTTTTAACTGTTGCTGGCAAGCACTACTCGGTGCTCTCGTACTGAGAATCCAATTTCAACTTCGCTAATGCAATTGCCAGTCCTACGATCAGTTTTTTTTTTGGCTCCTATGATAAACTGATATTGGATATTGGCACATTTTTTGGAGCTTATGATAAGCTGATATAGTTCGAAACCCTTATCAGTTTGACTGTAATCTCGAAGGACTGAGTCATCGACAGCCTTGCCTGCGAGTGGTTGCTGTTGGCACTTGTTACCACTTAAGCTATTTTCGAGTTTCTACGCGACTTAGACCGATTAGAGTGAAAGTAGGGAGGGCTTTATTTTTGACTTTCGGAGATAAGTGTTTGAAAAAGCTCTACATTCCCTCTTTTTCGAAACTGTAAGAGGAGAATCTTCAAAATGTGCTAATTCACAAAATACTATAAGTACACCTCCGCCCTATTGTGTCTTTTGCCTTACTTTTTTTAAAATTTTCCCAAATAGCCCTCTTTTTCCAAAAAAAAATACGATTCTGCCATCAAATTGCCATTAAAAAACAATAAAAATCTGATCGGTAGCAATATTTGGTCCGCCTAGAGAAAAAAGAAGGCAGAAGCCCAAAAATAGTCTGTGCTTGACCCTTGAGAATTGCAAAAATCAATAAAACAACCCTAAAATTTATCGCTGAACGATAGCATAAAGTCATTTTCATTGCTTTTTAACGTAATTTGGCATTTTTACGCCGACAAAACTTAGCGCTTTTTTAACAAATTTCATGCTAATTTCACTAAATTTTTAATTTGCCTTCCCCCTCCCC